TGTAGGGGCTGATTCCCCCCGCCCCACTTTTTCTGCAGTACACAGGTGCATTTTTGCAACATTTTAGTTTGCCTGAATATTTTTTCCTGAAAGGATTACCGGTATACAGGAAATTGGTCTAAACCGAAATTCAACATGGACAAAATTTGGTCTGACAGAATCAATTTTTTTTCCAGACGAATCGATTTGGACGAACCAAATTTTTATGGCGTTCACAATTCTACACTGTAACCTCCTCGTAAATGCATACAGATTGCTGGGAATATTTTGTCACCTCTGTACTGCAAGTATTTCAAATGCATACTTTAATTTTTTCCCTCTTAGAAGAGAGAAAATAAAACAAGAGTTTAAAATAACACGCAAAATCTGTTTTCAATTGTATTAAAAGAATGATTATTTTTCAAAGGCTGATTATGATATAAACTTCAGCGATCGCCACTGATTTGTTTAGAAACGTTTTGGCAGTTGCTGAATGCACAGAGCAGGGTTGAACGAACGCCTTGAGATTTAGCTTGCATGCTAATCATTCCTGTAACTGATCTTTTAAGATTTTTAGAGTTTGTAGAAGTTTGTCAACTGCCTCTTTGAAGTAAATTGGAGACCGTGTGAGCATAGCAGGGTCGCATTAACATAGCAGCAATGTGACTAGCACATGCTAACACTCTTTTGTTACATTGTACTGTATTATACAGATCAATCATGATCCCAATATATGACTCAGTGTTTTAATGTTTTCCAAAAGCTGGTATAATTAGAGTTTAATGATCTGGTAAGTGTCACCGAGGAATTAGTTTTCTGAGTCTTACCCTACAGTAGCTGGGTTATATGGGTTAGAGTTACTGTAAACATAATTTATTGGTGTTTTGTATAAACAAAATTAGACTTTATTGTTAATAAAGCAATAAACAAAAAAAATACCAGGCTTATTATAAAATGCATTAAAGGGACACTCCGGGTTCCTAGCTTTCTGAAATGCTTTATGTGTGAAGTGTGTTCTATTTTTTTAAATATTTTTTTTACAAAAAGTGCAGAGTTCCATAGAAATGAGCACTTATAAATGAACCCTGGCTTTCAAGCAGACATCTGGTCCTGTTACTTCCTGGTTTTGTTAGCTCAGTGGAGCTAAACTCAAGAGGCAGCAATTACCCAGAGCACCATCCTTGCAAAGACTTCTCATTGAGCTGCATTGGGAAGTCTGTGATTGGACAGCAACAGAAACTGTGTGCGAGGTTAGAAGAGGAAGGCTTACAAAAGCATCAGACAAGAGGTCTGGAGCTTTTGCAAGCTGTTTTTTGATATAATCCCTATGAAAAAAAGCCCAATTCAATTTTTTTTATTTGGGCTTTGTGACAAGACCAATCTCGCCACATTGCATTGGAGGAGCCTGGTTGCCCGCCTGCTGCCTTTGGATTATGGACCGGCAGTTAAACGGTTAATTTTACTGTGCAGAAAGATTTATTCCTTCCTTTTTGCACAGCCGTTCGGTAGATTCTATCTACCGAACAAACAGATTTCTATCAGCCTCCCCAGAGCCGTGGGAAGTCGGCCAGAGCCGTTAATTGGCCACCCAGAAGCTGGCGTGTGTCCTCCATTTACCTCCCTGAAGCCGCGGTTAACCGTGGCTTAACGAGCGTGTGCCGGCAATTGACCACCCAGTAGCTGCGGTTAACCACAGCTTAATTAACTGTTACTGGGTTATACCAAGCCGCCACACGATGGCGATGTTCTGGAGCTCCCCGCGTAGCCAGCGCTTGTCTGCCCGGCTTTCCTACGCCAAATCTGGACACTGTGTCAGTTAAGCACCCCTGAGCCTCCAGCCCCTGGTTCTAATTCGTACCAATTTAACGAATGTATGTAAATTCAGTATTTTGTGTTGGGGGAATGTTTTAACCCAGATAGCTATGCCATAGAGCCTATTTGTGTAATTAAAGACTTTAGCTCCATGGCAATTCAACTGTATTCGTGTGGTCTGAGTGCCATTCACCTAATAATGTGCACTCAGACCTGAGCTATCTGGGGATATGTTACATGTCTGTGTTTTATGTAATAAATGTTACTTTATGTATTTTAAAGTATAATACTGGTTTTGTGTCCCCACGTGTGTAATGGAGTTTTGCCTTTGTCTTGGGAGATAATTGAATTACTTCCCAGGGCAGAGGGGAGGAAGCCAGGATGCATTGTGGGAATATAATGTGACTGTGTGTCCTATTTGTCTGCTTGTCTGTCCCTTGTCACAGTCTCCCATTTGGTCCCCTAGGGGAGTGTCCACCAGATGGGAGACCTGCATAAATACTGGGCAGGTAGCCCTCATTAAACAGACCACTGCTTGACCCTCAACACGGAGCTCTGTCTCGTCTTTGGGGGGATTTACTGTATGCTGATAGAGACTGATTGCCAGGAGTGTAAGCCGCTTGGGTGCTTTTCCTGTTCGTCTGCTAGCAGCTATTCGTGGGGTTCCAGTTCGGGTGTTTGGAGCATTCCCTTGTATGCAGTTCGAGTGTTTGGAGCATTCCCTTGTATGCAGTTCGGGTGTTTGGAGCATTCACTTGTATTCAATTCGTGAGTTTTGGTGATTCTACAGTAGCTGTGCCTGTCTCTGAAAGGGGATTATTGTCTAAGCGGTTTTTACCCCTTTTGTGCAAAACGGTCCGTTACAGGCTATATCTACTAATCACTACTTTGTATTTATTTTTGGTCTAGCTTAATTTATTTTAGTAAAATAAATAGTTGTAATTGGGGGTCTTTCTACTTAACAGTGATTTTAATTTTTGGAGGGGTATTTGGCAGTGGATTGTCCCTTTACTTAAGGTCAAAAGAAGTAGGTATTTCTCACTCAAATTATTAAAATTAATGCCCCATTCTGCCACACTTGGCAGTATGCCAGGGGTACACAAATCCAGGGATTTACAGTTGCTAATAGTTTTGGCTTCTTAAATATATTAGGTTAACAGAGATGCATTGATCAGCTTCAATTATTGATGATTCTCCAGAATGTCAGAACTGTATTAAGCACGTGTGACCCTGTGTGGTTCATCCCTGAGATATAATGAAGCAGATAGAAAATATGAATCAGATGACATAATTTAAAGCTCACACCTTATTAAGTCAATAGTAAACAGTGAAATACAAGAAGAGACATGCTGTAGAGTAAGGCACAGTCACACTGATACTGATAATAGTGTGACTCTTTAACACTCCCTCCATTAAATCCACCTATTAATATCTCCTCTGATTTTCTTCACTATTTCTCCAACTCTTGGTTCTATGCACTTTCTCAGTACTCTCAACGTATTAGTTATTTGAACTTCAAATTCAGAAATTCAAAACTTTTGCCAATGCACAACAGTCTCTGTATTGTAGACTTCATGTGTTTTTTCATGACATGCCCCTAATACATACAATCTTATTTTACTACTGCTAATAAATACCTTATATGATGCTCTCTAAATGTTGTGCTCTTTTACTACCAGTAACATTTCGATTTACAATACAAGTAAGTTAAGGTACAAGACAGGTACTTGACTTTTCTAACGTTTGTGTATCCTTAGCAACATACAAAGTGAAGAATTAAACTGACTATGTGCATCGTGCTTTCACAACTTTGAAAAGATTACAATTTATTGGTATCACACCATCAAATATTACCAAGCAACATGTTCAATGAAGGTGCCATGACCAAAATGGTACTATGTTACTCTTTGTTGGAGTAGTACCATGGAGTATGGATCCATATATGGCATATGCTGATAGGCATGCACCCTTTATTCATTACATAGTAAACACTTCAAAGTGAAACTCTTCTGCAGTCTATTCATGTTGCATGTGCTTACCAAACGTGCTGTTGGCTAGTAGTGTGCATATTGGTTAAATTTGTGATCCATTACACAAATTTACAATGTCAGAATATGTTACCTAGTGATGAAATTGCCATGTTCATTTAAATATTTCAAAACTAACCCTAACCTTACACCTAACCCTACCGCTGACCCTAACCCTTACTCCAACCTTCCTCTAACCCTAACTCTACCCCTAACCCTGCCCCTAATCCTACCACTACCCCTAACCCTAACCCTACCACTACCTCAACCCCCTAACCCCAACCCTAGTAGGTTTAGGGGTAGGGTAAGGGTTAGGGTTAGGATAAGGGTTAGGGGTTGGATTAGTGGTAAGGTTATGGAATTGCAGAAGTTCCGAATTCCTGAAGTGCCAAAGTCCCGAATTGCAGATTTCCCGAATTTCAGAAATGCCGAACAGAACCAAAGTGCCGCTGTTGCTTAGGTTTTGCTGTGTCCCGCCGAGGACACAAAACCAATGTAGGTCTCTTCTACAGTGGTGAAGTGTGTGCATAAACACATTTACGATTAAAAACAAATCTAAATTAAAACAATCTTAAAGGCTAGTCAATTGGTAACGTAAATTTGGAGCATCTGCTATGAAACCCCCACTTGATAGGGAATTGGTTAAGCAAGGCGTCTTCCGTTTGCCCCTCATGGAGGAGCTGAAGAACCAGCTGGTGTGAAAGTAGTGACATTGTCCATGTCCCACTGGTGAGTAGATCCAGATGTGACATGGGTAGCCAGCCCCAGCGCTTGTAGAAAGCTGTCCGTGTTGGCCAGTGAAGTTAGCTTGTAGCGTTGACCGCGTTGCTCGACTAGAAGGGACCGCGGGGGCCCCCATCTGTATTGGACATTTGCTGCTCTCAGCTGTGTGGTCACCTTCTTGAATGTGGCATGCCATTGCAGCATAGCTCTGCTAAGGTCATGATAAAAGCTCAAAGCATGTTGCTCAAATGTAAACGGCACTTGACCTTTAACTTGTGTAAGGAAGGAGTCTTTATCAGCTCGTGACTTAAAGTATAGAATTATGTCCCTGGGAGTCTGCATCTTGTTCTTGAGGCCTCCCGGTACTCTGTAAGTCCCTACAGCTGCAGTCCTTTGGCAGTCAAGGCTGCTGCAAATAGTTGTCTGATGTAGTAAGGTAATTCTCCAGCATCAATAGCATCAGGGATACCCCGGATTGTTACGCTGGCGTGCCAAATCTTCAAGGTGTTCCACCTTAGCACTCAGTGCTGCACAGGTGTTTGACACTTCCGGTAGATGAGTATCAGTGAACTGTTGTTTAAGTCCAAGGCTTTGAATGTTTTCCTCCGCAGCCTGGATTCTGCCTGCTAGGGTGCCTAGGTCAGCTTTTAAGGTTGCCATTTCTGAGGCACAGAATGCTTTGATTTCTGTTACCATCGTGTTGATATCAGTTTTTGTAGCCCACTGTGTGTCAGGCTGCTTCTTGGAGGTGGCTCTGCCGCTGGGGGCCTGTGACTGGAGGTTTTCCAGGTCTGGGTCCTCATTGTCCAAGGCCGAGGTGGAGCCGCATGGTAAATCAGGGAGCAGGTCCACCATCTTGTGCCTGCTAGGTTGCGAGAGCATTAAGCCAATATTTCTGGTAGGCCCCCCGCTCAGGCCCCGAATTTTCCAGGAATGCTTCCCCATATTCTCACCCATTGTACGTCTCTGTAAAAGGTAATAAATAGGCAGCTGCTAGTCGCTTTGCTGGAGCTCATAGAGCTTGTGACCGCTCAGTTTGCTGGCTTGCTCGGCCCCCGATCTAAGAACTTTTTAAAGACAGAAAAAATTTGATTTACCTGATGTGTGCACCCTTCAAGCTGTCTTCATGGACAATTTTACTTAGAAATTAATTTTTCAAACATGTTGGATAAATATCATAGAATAGTAGAAATTGCTTCATTTAAATGTTTTGGCTGTTTCTTGACAGCACGAAGACCAACAACTCTAGCAAAGAGAACTCACTACCATCCTCGCCGCGAGAGGGACAACCCCCATGATTTAATATTTTTGGAAAGACTTTTATAAATATATTTTCTAAATATTTAAATATCAATCAAATTTGTCAAATAAATATAATATATTAAAAATAATCAAAATATTAAACCATTTTTCAAAATATGAAATAATTTAAAAAGCTAATCTAAAATATGAAACCACCCGAAAAGCTTATCCCAAAAAACAAACAAAACAAGGCCTTGTGAAATATTGTGTGTTATATTGGTATTGTGATATATTGTGTGTTAGATTGGTATTGTGATATGCATAGTGTGGTATGTTGATACTGAAGTAGCTGCTTTTGTGCTCCATTAACAATATAATTGGTGGGGAATTTTGTTACCATTGTGTGTTATAATGGAAAATATTTGTAACAATGGATTTTGTCAAACAACGGGCTTTTTGAACTAGGGCAATAAAGCAGAGCTGATCAGCTCTAGAATGTAAGCTCATTGAGCTGGGCCCTCCACCTATCTGTTCCTGTATGTCTAGTTGTCGGGTTACAATTACATGTCTGTTAGTCAACTCATTGTACAGCGCTACGGAATCTGGTGGCGCTATATAAATAATAAAATAATAAAATAATAATAACTGTTAACGCATCACATCTCATTCTTTATTTCATAAAAAAACATGGTTAATAACTAATTAACCACTTGATAATTAGTCATTTTTTTTCCATTTGATACTGCAAATCTATATAAGCAGAATGGATACATTCTTTTTCTCTGTGTTTTAGGGGACTGTTAAATTTTGTATGTAATATGGACCTTTGTTGTTACTGTGCCAATACAATTATTATTTTAAAAAATAACAACACATCAGTAGTGATGTCCCGAACGGTTCGCCGAACGGTTCGCCACGGATGGCGAACATATGCGGTAAAGAACCTCACAGTTTCCAGCCAATCCCACCTCCTGGACAGCATCCATTTTACATTCATTGTGAAGCTGCATTCTTAGTGAGCTGTCCAGGAGGTGGGAGGGTCTGGGAGGGAGGGTCTGCTGCTGATTGGCTGGAATGTGTCTGCTGACTGTGAGGTATAGGGTCAAAGTTTACCGCATATGTTCGCCATCCGTGGCGAACCGTTCGGCGAACCGTTCGGGACATCACTACACATCAGTACTACTTAAATATAAGAATAGCATATAATATGCAAATGTGTAAAATTATTGTACAACTGTTTTCTTGATTATATCATAACATTGTTGAGAGGCATATATAACGATCGTTTTTTGGTTAGTCTGTATATGCGTTCCTTGTCTGTGTCCTATATTGCTCACCTGCTATTCAACATAGTTCTATATAGTATGTCAATAATTAAAGGTATATATAGAAAGCACATTTTTAAAAATCCTCAGATGATATCAAATGTATTTTGTTTTTTTGCGATAAGAAGGATGGGCAGTAGTGGATGAACTGGATAAAATAGACTCTTTTCATCAGTGCATTTGAAATGGAAAAAAAAATATGCAAAGGTTCTATTTGTTAGATTTTTGTAGTGGTTCTGGCGCAAAGAGACTGTGCCTGTAGTCTGGTAATTGTAAACACTGACACCAATTAAAGAAACAAGGGGTGCAGTATCCGCATCAATATATGCCATTTATTGAATCTTGCAAGATATTGGACAATAGTGTTTCAAGTTACAATTTGTTTGCCAGTATATGTTTCCCATCTGCCCATAAATTGGTGGGGAGTTGGAATTGAACTAGATAATCACAGTAGGATATGTTCTATAGAGTTTGGGATGCAACAAGTCCATTGAAAAGAGGTTAAATGTCATGACAATAGTGGTTGTTATGGTATGGTGGCTATATATCCCTGTAACTGCTTGTAACAAAAAACTTTCTAAAAAAGGGACATTCTTCTCCGGGACCAAAGATCCTGAGGAAAATACTGCATGTTGAATGTGCAATGTCTATATTCCATGTTCTCTCTTTGGCAGAAGTATATAATCAAAAAGGAAGAGAGAGCTTTGAGATTTCTTAAGAGAGGGATAATGTACTCTAAAAAAAAAGAAAAATTACAGCATTATAGTCAAATACAGACACATAACATGCATGTACACTTGAACCAACTCACAAACACACAGTTAAAACATAACAATTTGCTTGGATAAACACTTAATCATAAGCTTCCTTGACCTATGAATCAGGTCTGGCATTGCTCTAATGTAGATTGTATTAACGTTGTTGATAGGGAGTCTCCAAAATTATTTCAGCAAACCTCCCTTTAGTTTGCATTACTTTTGTTGAGTAGAAAAGCTGCAGACATTCTTTCTCCTTACTACTCTATCACTTTATATTTGCTTTGATATTTGCCCATTTTTTCACCTGTGCCCTATTGGAAAATGGTTGTCCTGTCTATTTGGTCAAGAATAGTAACATGTGAATTGATTTGGTAACGCTGTAATCATCTGGTCAGCCATGCTAATAGCGCACATCAGAGTGTCTAGAAAACGTCTATGAACTATGGGACACTTTTTATATAACTAATATTGTTTTTTTTCCCCCAAAAAGATAAATCTTTTAATCCGTATAGCCAAGTTGTAATGAAAATAGGTGCATTTTTTTCACTTTTAGAGAAAAATGGTTATTCTGGCATAATAGCCCAATTTTTTAAAACTCTTCTAATGACAGTTACAGAAAAAAAAAATATCCACGATGGAAGTGATTGTGCAAGATAATGCACATAAATGTGGCTAAGCAATTGCGAATAACGACGGTGTTAAACAATTTTGGGTTGTATGGTTGTCATCAAGCTATATGTTCCTAGTATAGTAGGGATGCCTTGCAGGTGTTATTTATATAAGCTTCAACACACAACAGGGAGTCCATAAAAAAGAGATTGATGTTTGCACCATATGTGTTGGTTGAAAAAAGCCAAGTTCCCTACTGCTATAAATAAGTGCATTCAATGAAAGAAAGGAAGAATAAAAAAAAAAGATGGAACAAAGAATAGAATATTGACTAAGCGTATTTAACCTGTAGATCTCACATGAAGTAACACTTAAAGGTTAAAGGGATTTTGTTATGAATATAAGGTTTTTCATGTTACTTTGCTTTAAATGTTGGATCAAGTTTAGATAAAATGTGTTTTTCCTTTAGCCCGGGATTATGGAGCACCGTTTTCTCTGCTTTTGATGTGACCTCCTAAAAATGTACTGGATAAAACCAGAGTCCATTTCTATAATTAAATAAGCCTCAAACTGGCATATAATTCTGGATAAAGACACAATCCAGCATTGCATACCATGTACTTAGGGCCACCCGATGGGCCCTATATCTGTGGCCGTGGTATAGCGCGACCGGGCCCCTTTAAAAAAAAAAAAAAAGCAGCCGCAGCAAGTGCTGCTGGGAGGAAGTGGTCACTTCCTCCCAGCTCACTCCGCGCGGGAGGAGCGAGCACCTGGCAGTGAGGGAGAGCCATGTCGACTACTCCCATCAGCTCCAGCCACCCTCATGCAAAGAAAAGGTAAGAGACAGGAGGGTGGCTGGAAAATGAGCTGTGTGTGTGTGTGTGTGTGTCTGTCTGTCTATGTATGTCTATGTATGTATGTATGTATGTGTAGCGGAGCTGCAATATTAAATCCCAATATCTCCGTTGGTAAAGGAAAGTAATCCAAGAAAAGCGCTGAATGAAGGCAATATCCCAAATCCCCCAGTAACCGGACGAAGCACAGTTCTGGGAGTCAAATGAGGTTTTTATTTACAGGCTCCAGTATTTATGTGGTTCCCCATGCAAGGGGTTTCCTTAATCACTTTACAGGGGTTATACAGTAGGAGACTACATGGGGAACTGAACATACAGGACATTTTTCCCACCATGTACTGCTGTACGAGAGGGATACTCCCACAGAATATCCTGCTAAATGGATTATCCCTCTGTACAGCAGAACCGGCTTTCTACTTAAAAATATGTAACTGGCACATTATTCGTGCTATTGGACCGAATGACATATCGGTAGATAGCTGGGATCTGAGCGCATACTTCGGGAGATTACCGCTCAGATCCCAGCACAATTAGCGAACGCCACACGAAATACATTTTAATATGAATTCTCCAGAAAAGACACAAATGCATAGTTTGAGAGAAAGTACCGAAAGACCGGTGTTCCCGAACGGTCTGGAAGTCCAGCGGTGTTTGTGCCATCGAGTAGCCGATTTTATTTCCAGGCACTCGACGGCCAAACACAGCTGGGCTAAAAGTGAATCCAAGATGGCCGCCGAGTGGTCGGTATCCGAACGGCGGCTAACCTGTGAATCAATTAACTGGGTAACGATACAATGTTGCAATCTGTTAATGGGAGCCACACAACCTCCTGTGTGTGGTCTCCCATTCGGTACTTTGTTCGTTTCACAAACAGTGTTGAAAGTCACTGTTCGTGAAACTACCATATGAATGCTAGGGGCTTTCGTGCCACTAGCATATGAATGCCCTCTATCACCTTTTTAAATGAACACATGAAACAACATAGATTAAACAGCGTTTCTAGGAGAACCATTATATATAAAGGAATAGTCTTAAGTGGCTAGGTTTGCCACAATGCTCCCCCAGAAGCAAGCCGGTATACACAGTCTGATCCCAAAGGATCGGCTTTGGTATGTCCGGAGGAGTACTCACAGATCACTTTTCAAGTTCAGTTCATCTGGATAACCCGT